AGTAAAAAGTGGGCGAGGAAAGGTCGTGGTCTATTCTTAAAAAAAAAAAAAATTGGAAATTCTGACTCAGCTCTGTTATTAGAACTGATGCAAAATTTCGGGCTTTTTTCTTGTAGTGCAGTGGTAGAATAATTGGACTTTTTATAAAGGTATGGTACAGGCCAAGGAGACGTGGATCATTCCTCTTTATAAGCTAAACACATACATACATATGTGAGCCATCGCATATCTGAATTAAAATCGAACCCAATAAGCTTTCAGTAAAGTTTTCTTCTACTTTGTTACCAACACAATTCCATTGCTAATATACCCGCATTGGGGGGCGAAATATATGTGCATACATATGTATATAAAGAAGGCCATATCTGTTCCTCGTAACGAGGATCGCCTTTCAGGTATTCCATTGACCTGGTCCCCGGCCACTTTTCCACTACTGATGTGCATCATGTCAGTTCCTGGCGTTCACATTTGCCGTCGACGTTGGCGTTGGCGTTCGCTGTTTGGCGACGCTTTCTGCCTCTTTGGCGGCGTTCTAGGCGATTAGTTGCTTAAAAATAGCGCAGACATGCGGAAGACCAAGATGTCTCTGTCGTTCTCGATATTGCTTCTTCATTTCCTTCGTGTTGTTATTGCTATTGTTGTTGGTCGCCGTGTACCTCTCAGTTGCCGAGTTGCCAGGCCATTGTGGCGTCGCCTCCACTGTCTCCGTCTCGTCGGCCGCCCACTCGCCTGTCTACTCGCAATGCGCTACCTTCCCTCCCCTACTTCCTCCCAGAAAATTAGAAAGAAAAAATATTTGTCACTAATCCTACACAAAATTGTTTCGGATGCTAGAAAGCTGCTTCCACACACACACACACACACACACACAAACACACTTGGACCAAGTATTTTCAATACCAAGCCACAAAGCTAAAGGCAATCCAGCCATTCCATCCGTCCATCCGTCAACTCATCCACTCCCAGCGGCCGCTCTGCTGCGGGCCTAATTCCAGAATCTATTCCCACTCTAATACATCGAAAACGATCAAGCCATCGGATCGAAATATATATACCTATATATATATCTATATCTATATCTATATCTATATCTATATCTATATCTATATC